TCGCCCCCTCAGCTGGTGTTCCCTTGCGCCCGCAGGTGAAGGCCGGCTTCGGAGTCAACCTTATTGGGGTGGCGGTGGTCATGCTGGCCATCATGACCTGGGGCGAGCCCCTGTTCCAGCTGTCGGAGTTCCCGGACTGGGCGGTGCTTCGGAACGTCACGGACAGCCTCTGACCTCGCCCCCCGGGAGACGCGCAGCTGCGCGGAGGCGGAACGAGACAAGGGAAGGAAAGACCACAGCGCTACGCCAAAAAGAAAAGCCAGTCCCTCCTGCCGATTCCAGTCGTAGCATCCCTTGAGAATAGAGTTCCATCCAAGCACTCCCTCGGGAATGGGGCTTCATCCGAACAATCCCTCGGGAATGGGGCTTCATCCGAACAATCCCTCGGGAAAGGAGCTCCATCCGAACAATCCCTCGGGAATGGAACTCCCTCCAAACGATCCTTTGGGAATGGGACTCCATCCAAACGATCCCCCAGGAATGGAGCTCCATCCAAACGATCCCTCGGGAATGGAGCTCCATCTGAACAATCCCTCGGGAATGGAGCTCCATCCGAACAATCCCTCGGGAATGGAGCTCCATCCGAACAATCCCTCGGGAATGGGGCTCCATCCGACCAATCCCTCGGGAGCGGAGCTCCAATATGAGCAATCCTTTGGGAATGGGACTCCCATCAAAAAGCCCCTTGGGAGCAGGGCTCCAATCGAACAATGTTTCCCCGGGAAAGGAGCTCCATCCGACTTTCAGTAATTGCCCCAGTGCCTGAAATCCGACGAGCAGTGCTCAGGCTCGCTATCAGGGGTGGGTGTTGGTCTGGACTTCAGCGAGCAGATTTTAAAGGCCCAAGAGTTGCGCTTTTACAGCTGTTGGGATCAGCAGGAATCCAAAGAGACGCAGGCTGCAGACGCAGACCCCCAAACAGCCATAGGCCACTCAAGAGCCGAATCCTTCCGCGTGATCATCCTCAGCCTCCTCAGCCCCAGAGCCTTGTCCCTCTTCTCTAGTTCTCCATTCTCAACATCGACGCCGTGTTTCCACGACCTCCCAAATGGGCTCCGAAGCACGTCGCCGGGAGGTAACGGAACAGTCTTAACACTTCCCAAACGGAAGGCGTTTGAGAGAATCGGATGAAAGCAAAGGCAGGCCTGGGCTCCCGACTCGACCCTCCACCAGCTGCAGACGTGCTACGGAAACAAACGGTGTTCGGATGTGTCAGGCAGCGGCCAGTCCAGGCTTCAGGGGACAACACTGCACCGTGATCCGGGCTCTCCTTCGAAGGATGCGCTTCCCAAAACCCGACGGAGCGAAGCACGATCCTGGAGCAGATCGTTCTGGGCTTACCCCCTCCTACTGGTGGGAAATTCAAGTCCCCCACCACTAAGCATCTTGAACACACAGGTCCTGCAGAAGAGTCCGTTTTTGGTTTTTGGTTTTTGGTTTTTTTTTAAGGGCAACGATTAAACCCCGCGGCTCTTCAAAACCAAGGCCGGCCCCTTCTGTCTTCCTCGAGAGACAGCAGGCGGAAGAGGCCAACACTCCGCCGATCCTGTCGGGCCAGTGTACCGAGCAATGCTTCTCAGCCTATACCAAAACTAAACGCCACCAAGTGCCCACTTCTAAAGCTAGGATGTTTTTTTTTTGGGGGGGTTTAACGGGCAGATCAAGGTGCTGCAAGTGCCTTTGTCAGGGATCTTTCAAGTGGTGAATGCGTCATCATCCGCCCGGGGACACAGCCCTGCGATTAAAGCTGTTCTACAGCTGGTGACCGAATCAAAAGAAAGCGGAACTGCGAGTACCCAACGTGAACCGAAAGGCTCACGCCGGAAAAAAAATGTCTTTTCCGACTCCTGTAGAATTGAAAACGCAACCTGATCGCCGTTCCAATGGGTACTGTGAAATCAAAATGAATTTCCTCCTACTGCCCACGTGGAGAGGTCCAGCCAGGAAGACGCCTGAACCTCTCCAGCGATCACAATAATGGCGACAAAGAGGGACTCTTTTATTACAGCCCAACGAGAACGATCAAGGGCTTTCAGCTTTCTCCAACGCGTGTAGTTTACATAAGAGATGCTTTACATATCGCATTTTTACTGGGAGGTTAATATTCATTCCAGTTTTAGGTGTCGGCGCAAAAGAGCAAAACCGAATCTGACGAATTATGCAATCTATTCAATTTCTCTTCAGAAATCTATCTCCTTCCTTGCCGCTCAATTAAAAATTGGTAAAAACGTCTGGTGTGTGTGCGTGTGTGTGGAGTCTCAGTGCATATTAGCAGTGTTGTGTAAATTCTGCGTGTACCCTGCGAAGGTTTGGCGTCCCCATCTGCTGGGATGCCAGGAGTCACTGCGCACGCAGTCCAGTGAAGGTCTGAGATGAGTTTCATTGTAATGAAAATGGCCCCTTCTGGAGAGCACCGGAGGAGACCCACACAAGGTGTCTTTCCCAGAGCCCTGAGTTACAGCAGTGTTACAGAGGGTTTAGTCTAAATGCAGCCATGTTATGACCACGCATGGGGGTTTAAGAGTCTACTTATATATATAGCCAGCAGCCATATCACCCTGCAACTCACAACTGGTAACCCACTGAAGCTAAGCAGGTATGATCCTGGTCAGTACCTGGATGGGAGACCTCCTGGGAAAAACTGAGGTTGCTGCTGGAAGAGGTGTTAGTGGGGCCAGCAGGGGGCGCTCACCCTGCGGTCCATGTGGATCCGAATGCCCCAGTATAGTGACGGGGACACTATACTGTAAACAGGCGCCGTCCTTCGGATGAGACGTAAAACCGAGGTCCTGACTCTCTGTGGTCATTAACAATCCCAGGGCGTTTCTCGAAAAGAGTAGGGGTCTAACCCCGGCGTCCTGGCTAAATTTCCCATTGTCCCTCACCAATCATGGCCTCCTAACAATCCCCCTCTATGAATTGGCTTCATTACTCTGCTCTCCTCCCCACTGAGAGCTGGTGTGTGGGGAGCGTTCTGGCGCACTATGGCTGCCGTCGCATCATCCAGGTGGGGCTGCACACTGGTGGTGGTGGAGGGGATCCCCATTACCTGTAAAGCGCTTTGAGTGGAGTGTCCAGAAAAGCGCTATATAAGTGTAAGCAATTATTATTATTATTACTTTATGATCCGGTGGGCATTCTTGACGATGTTATTCCCACCTTCCAGCTCTTTCCGAAGTGTCAGGCACACCAGCAGGAGTCTGTTTAAATCCGCTCAAGAACGCAGTGACCCCCCTGGGCTCCCAGCTAGATTTCTACCCAGCCAGAATGTACCCAGCCTTGTGCCCGTTGCTTGCTGGGATAGGTTCCAGCTTCTCCGCAACCCTGTACTGGTTTGAGTGGTTAGAGAACAGATGGATGGACATTAAAATAAAACAAAATCTATTTTATGTGTTTATTGCATTACACAAATATACATATTGCAGGATTGCCTTTGTTTTTGGCAATGTGGCGGGAGCAAACCTCACCTTTGCCCATGAAGGCTTTCTTATCAGTAGAGCACAATAGTCGCAGATTACTCATTTACTTTGCACAGTCTCACTGCGCTCGATTCCTGGTGCTACTGTATGTGAAATAATTCAGAAAGTGACTGGAAACAGGGGCTTAGCCCTCAAGGATCTGAATTCCCCGAGGAGAGCACAATACTCGTTTCAGAGCACGAGCAAGTGTTCCCAGTTCTCAGACACTGGAGACTTAGGGTACCCTGTAAGACTTCCTGCACGGGGGCCCCCCCAAGACCAGTGTGGGACTCCCCTAGGTTCTCCATAACTTGGACCCTTTTAGTACAGAAGGGGGGTGATTTTTAACCCCCGTCCTGCAATAGAGAGGGCAAAGTGATTAAATCATTGGAGGCCCAGTCCTGCTCGTCACACAAAACTGTATGAAAAATCTGAAGGGCACAAAGACACAGATCCAGCTGTTCCGAGGGGATACAGCTGTCATCCCACCCTGCAGTTCACCAACGAGTCATCCATGCGTCTGTCTTCTTCCTCCTCCTCCTCCTCCTCTTCCTCCGCTAGCTGGGCTAGGATTCTGCCGACTGGCCCACGGGCTCATATCCGTCCGTCAGAAGCTTCTCCTTATACTTCAAAAAGTCTCTCCGCTTATGAAAATATTTCACCTGCGGCGCGACAGAACAGAAAGCAACTTGTTTTAGAGACACGCCCGGGGGGAAGGAAGCTGCACGAGATGAGATCTGCCAAAAATCTTTCCCTCTTTCTAATCGCTGGAACACGTGATGCAACTTTCCAAAATCCTGAGAACCCCACGCTTGTCGTTTTGGTGAAACGGGTTATACTGCATAGCCCTATTGCAAGGAGCTGGATTTATTTCAATTAGTAAAAGCCACAGGCGTGAGACTCGCTACATAGACGAGAACCCCCCCCTTGCTAAAACAGTAACGGACAACAGGTCTTGATCAGATTGTTATATGAAAAGCGACAATCCTGCTTCGCTGTGAGTAGAACACTTTGAAGATTTCCGATTGTGAATTGTGGATTTCTGTTTTTAGACGCCCGGTGAGGCTTCGGCTAACAGCACCACGTTGTTGCAAATCAGCAAAACAAAAAAAAAAAGCGTGAGAATATCAGAATGAAAAGAACATCAGTAACTGTTTTGGTGATCAGATGACACGCATGCAGCCGAAAAAGCATTTCATGCCACGTTAGACTTCGATCAAGCCATCGAGATGTACATAGCAGGAGGTAACTAAGCCTTGAAGAGCAGCGAGATTTAGTTTTTCAGGAGAGCCTGCATTTTAAGGAAGAGCCGGGAAAATAAAGTGCTTCCGCACTGTTTGTCAGTCAGTCAGTCAGCTGAGGGGCTGTTAATACCCGTGTTGAGCTCAACACCTGTCTTCCACCCACCCACCCGCGGTAGTGGCGGTCGTACCCACTGAGCAGGACAGCTGCTCTCAAACTGCTTCTGCAGCTGTGCGCACCGATCTCTGTCCTCCTGGTTGTCGTCCAGGCACCTCCAGAATGCATCTCTCGCCCCCCAGCAGGTACGGCGTTCCTCTGCGCTTGGAGCCGACATTGTGTGTGTGTGTTTGTGCGGGGGGTGGGGGGTCTCTTCTCTTTCCAGGGCCGGTTAGGGACGGCCAGGGAGGGGCAGCAGAGAAAGGAGCCTGGAGGAACACAGCACCGTCAGGATCGCCCGATACACACGCTGCTCTCCCGGAGGGTAGCCGGCGACACTTACGCGCACTGTAGCCCGGGCCAATCGCTGGGCAAACCTGACGAGAAATCGGCCTTATCCAAGCCTGTCAAGAGTATTTGCTGGATTTACTGGATTTATTCTGTTAAAAACGCGTTGCTCGAATTTAAACTTCAGAAACAAAGTGCAGAACATGGCCCAAAACACTGCACAATCATATCAGCTGTGCGTATAGAGAGAGAGAGACATTTATTTAATCTTGCACAACTGATGCCCTTTCTATCGCAACGATGTATATACACGTTGGTATTACAAGAGTTAACCAAAATAACCGAGAGTTTATATGTTCAGATCCAAAGACTACTTACATAACCGACTGCATCAATCACGAAAGTTACCCTTTGTTTTCTGAATAACTCTCTCTTCCTTAATTGCATGCTACTATTTCCTTGGATTATTATACTTAACGAAAAACACTTATATGACGACTTTACAGTTGCTTATTTTAACCGATTATACACAGAAATATAAGCATCACCTACACACGCATTCTTACCAGCGGATGACCCTGACCTCTGACTGTCACCCGGAAGTGCTTTCTCTCCCGGAAACGCTTCTCCCCTAAGCCGCACAGGGGATCACCTGATAGGCGCGGTGACACTGCCCCCTGGTGGAGCCCTCCTCACTCTCACCGCAGGCTGCTAGGGTTCCGTCGTATAATAGATCTGATAGGATATCCAGTTAAAAACTCCACTTGGACGTCTATATGTAAAAGCATTGTAAACCAGTTGTGGGTTTATGTGAAGTCTCTTTTGCACAAGAAATTACATAAAGAGATCTTGTTTGTTTTCTTGCTGAATAAGAGGAAAAAGACACCTTGGAAACCCAATCTCATCAGATCTTGGATGCTAAGAAAGGCTGTTGCTGTAAGTGGTGATGGTGGACCAGTAGGGGGCGATCTTCCCTCCAGCTGAGCCCTCCCACACCAAGATCAAGAAGGCAGCATGGTGGGGCAGTGGTCAGCATTATTGCCTCGGAGTCCACAGTACAAAGACATGCTGGTAGATTAATTGACTTCTGGGAAAAGGTGTGTGT